CAGAATAAAAGTGGTTTTTTAAGTCTTAATAGGTTATCTTTTCCATTTTATACAATTCCCTTACTTTTTGTACCCATAAATCGTAGGAAGGAGGCTCCAACTGCATCAACCTGGTTGTAATGCATTTCAGGGCTGCTGTAAAAAGAACATTCAACAGATAAGTTTTGGTCCGTCCTTGCAATCCCTCCGGTAATAAGCACCAACAGTAACATCCCTCGGTATAACCTCCGTGAAGATCTGGTTCATAGTCCTGTACACCTCATCCCAAAAGTTTTTTAGTTTGGGACATGACCAGAAAATGTGTGTTTGATTGGGGACCGCTGAGCCACAGTTTCTCTGAAACAAGCTTGGAGCTCTAGGATCCATCTTGGCAACAACATCTGGGGTCCTGAAATATCTACTAATAATTTTCCATTTATATTCCCGCCACGTTTTGGACTCTGTAACTCCATGTGTCTCAGTCCAGACTCCCTCCCATGTTTCATCAGAGATTATTCTGGCCGTCTCTGCCTCCCATCTTTGTTTTGTCCAAGTGGGATCGTTAAGGTTCATTGACAGAAATACATTATATAACTTTACTATCAATTTTTTATCTCCTCCCCCTTTCTGGTAATGAATTAGGAGGCTTTCAGGCTGTTTGGGAAGATTTCATTTTTTAATTGGGACTAGTTTCGTAACCTAATATTAATTTCGGTAACCGACGTATTCTAGCATCATTTTTTATTTTTATTTTGCGCTCCAAAGACGTGCACACAGATTAGAAAACACTCTCAGAAAGAGAGAAGGAGGAAGTTCATGCAGCACAGTTCCATGCGCTGCTATGTGAAAGAAACAGGAAAGACCAGACAGTTGCAGAGGAGCTGAGAGAGGAAAAGAATCAGCTGCTGCAACAACGCTGGATTATAAACATGTTGTTCACATCCAATCATTGGAGGGGACAAATAGGTCCATCCAACATTTTGCTAGGGACATGTCCCTATGGTCCCTATGGTCCCTATGGTCCCTGTGGTCCCTACGGTCCCTATGGTCCCTATGGTCCCTGTGGTCCCTACGGTCCCTATGGTCCCTATGGTCCCTGTGGTCCCTACGGTCCCTATGGTCCCTATGCAGACCTACACCCATGGGATGTGCTCTCTTCATCCTCTGACATGGGAGCTGGCTCGGAGCTCGTCTGCCTGGCTGTGTGTTTCCTGGACGGGGCCGCCTGTGGAGCTGGTTGACAGTTGCCTTTTGTATCTATGCTTCTTTTTCTATGTCTGCTTCTGTCTCCTTGAACCCCAGTGGGCCTCAGCAGATGGCCGCTCACACTGAGCCTGGTTCTGCTGGAGGTTTCTTCCTGTTCAAAGGGAGTTTTTCCTCTCCACTGTCGCTACAAGCATGCTTAGTGTGAGGGATTGCTGAAGAGTCAATGAGTCGATGCAATCAGCTGGTTTTCCTTAGATAGAAAACTTTTAATCAATCTGACTGGAGGATCTATAAAGTGCCCTGCAATGACAGGATGTGAATTGGAGCTATAGAAATAAACTGAATAGAATTTGTTTATGATTTTTGTAAATTCTTATAATGGAAGTTGATGAATTAACTCCATCTGCAGCTCATGGTCTCTGTTTGGCCGCCATCAGACAGTCCCAGAGTGATCTGGTTAAATAACAGGAAACCAGCGGAGCAAACGTGACGTTCCACGCTCCACAGAGTCCTGCTGAGAACAGCTGGAACCGCTGCTTCCCGCCTCCATCTGCCTCCATCTGCCTCCACCTAAGCTCTACAGCCAAAGGTTTGCTACGGCAGACAGCTATTGCCCCCCTGGGTGCAGGTTAGCCGCCATCTTCCCTCTGCTGAATGTTCTTCTTCCCCCCTGAGGCCAGCTGTCACAGTGTGCCGCCTGAGGCTACGCCAACCATTTCCTCCTGAATTCTTCCTCCAGAAGCGGAACAGGTCCGACCGCCCTGCTCACTTCCAAAGTGTTTTAGTTTGATTTCCATCGAATCATAGAAGGAAGGGGACTTCCTGCCAGCGAGTCGATCTCTTTTCCAGAGAAAGCTTCTGGAACCAGGCGGGGGGGTCAGTCTGAGCTGCTCTCACCTGGAATCTAACAGATTATCTTCCTGCTTTGTTTCAAACCCCCAAAGAGTCGCTAACATCCCAGAGCTGTTCAAACTCAGACCCGTCTCAGTGCCGCTGCAGGAGCCGACCCATCCCATCACACCACCACCTCTGTGTTGTTTGATGCCAGAGAGGCTGCACAGCTTGAAATGTTTCCTCCTGGATGGACAGGAGGTCTGACGGGTCATCAGGTCCATGGAAGGTCCAGGCTGTGGTTTATCTCCTGTCTGAAATAAGCCTGTAACCCGTCTCAGACCAGTAGATGGTGCTTTTAGAAACCTCTGCCTACTTCATGTGGTCTGATGAGTACAGAGGAACTGAGCTGCTTCCAAAAGAAAAGCAATGAAGCATCACTGCTATGAACGGCTTCAGGCTGTGCTAACTGCTAACAGCTGGAGGAAATTCAAACCACTCCAACGCGGCCAGAGGTTTACGGTCTGACACAGTTAGGGCTAACAGACTGCATGCTACGCTATGCTCCAGTAAAGCTAACAGGCTAACAGACTGCATGCTACGCTATGCTGCAGTAAAGCTAACAGTCTAACAGACTGCATGTTACGCTATGCTGCAGTAAAGCTAACAGGCTAACAGACTGCATGCTACGCTATGCTGCAGTAAAGCTAACAGGCTAACAGACTGCATGCTACGCTATGCTCCAGTAAAGCTAACAGGCTAACAGGCTGCATGCTACGCTATGCTGCAGTAAAGCTAACAGTCTAACAGACTGCATGCTACGCTATGCTGCAGTAAAGCTAACAGGCTGCATGCTACGCTATGCTGCAGTAAAGCTAACAGGCTAACAGACTGCATGCTACGCTATGCTGCAGTAAAGCTAACAGGCTAACAGACTGCATGCTACGCTATGCTGCAGTAAAGCTAACAGTCTAACAGACTGCATGCTACGCTATGCTGCAGTAAAGCTAACAGTCTAACAGACTGCATGCTACGCTATGCTGCAGTAAAGCTAACAGGCTAACAGACTGCATGCTACGCTATGCTGCAGTAAAGCTAACAGTCTAACAGACTGCATGCTACGCTATGCTGCAGTAAAGCTAACAGGCTAACAGACTGCATGCTACGCTATGCTGCAGTAAAGCTAACAGTCTAACAGACTGCATGCTACGCTATGCTGCAGTAAAGCTAACAGTCTAACAGACTGCATGCTACGCTATGCTGCGGTAAAGCTAACAGGCTAACAGACTGCATGCTACGCTATGCTGCAGTAAAGCTAACAGTCTAACAGACTGCATGCTACGCTATGCTGCAGTAAAGCTAACAGTCTAACAGACTGCATGCTACGCTATGCTGCAGTAAAGCTAACAGTCTAACAGACTGCATGCTACGCTATGCTGCGGTAAAGCTAACAGGCTAACAGACTGCATGCTACGCTATGCTGCAGTAAAGCTAACAGTCTAACAGACTGCATGCTACGCTATGCTGCAGTAAAGCTAACAGGCTAACAGACTGCATGCTACGCTATGCTGCAGTAAAGCTAACAGTCTAACAGACTGCATGCTACGCTATGCTGCAGTAAAGCTAACAGTCTAACAGACTGCATGCTACGCTATGCTGCAGTAAAGCTAACAGTCTAACAGGCTGCATGCTACGCTATGCTGCAGTAAAGCTAACAGTCTAACAGGCTGCATGCTACGCTATGCTGCAGTAAAGCTAACAGTCTAACAGGCTGCATGCTACGCTATGCTGCAGTAAAGCTAACAGTCTAACAGGCTGCATGCTACGCTATGCTGCAGTAAAGCTAACAGGCTAACAGACTGCATGCTACGCTATGCTGCAGTAACATGTTTAGAACTCTTTTCTTTATAAGCTAAAACAATCTGTTCTATTATGAGCTCGTTACGTTTCCATTAGCGAATCTGACCAAGAGTCATTTAGTGGAATCCTGATGTCTATTCGCTGCTAGCGATTTTAAAGAGGGTAAAGAATCATTTAAATAAAAGTTATTGGTTCCTGATTAAGCAAATCATTCAATAAAACATTATTTGACCAAATAATGTTTTATTCACCTCATGGATTTGCATTGAATTGGTCTGAAAACATTCCAGTTTCTCTGAATTAGTGAAAAGCTCATTTAATCCCAAATTCTTCCAGATAAACTTTAAACATTAAATTCATGATAAACTATGACATCATCATTATCATTAATGATGGTTTTCAATCCTGTTTCCCTTTTTGTTCATAGTAGTTTAGTTTAGATGAGTTTCACTTGTTTTTAGTCTTGAGTTTTAAAATCTTTTAAAGTTGCAGATCATCCGTTAGCGATGTGCTTCTGCGCCGTCGCCTCCTTATGAAACGATTAACTGATCTTCTTGAGTCCAGTCAGGCTGAGATCTTCCTTTATGGCATAAATTCATCTCATTCTATAATATTTAATCTTTAAATGCAAATTAAGGCCTTATTTAGGCTCCTCTGGGTTCAGTAAATGCAGATTATCTGTGTGATTCACAGTGTAAATATCTGAACTGATCACCTGTGAGGCGCAGACTTTGAGCGACAGCAGCTTTGTTGATCAAATTCTTCTGATCGTAGTGGAATGTGCTGCTGGAATAAAAAGCTCGCTAACCGGAGGGAAAACTGAAAGCTAATAACTGCAGGCGGTTCATCATCTGAGGGGAAGGAGCCACCAGCTTCCACAGAAAACAACATGATAGTAACTGCCTGCAGACAGAAGGACACGCCTTCTGCTCTGGGGGAGAAGGATCAGCAGCAGAGGAGGAATCATGGATCCAGGGAGAACAGAACCCATCAAGAACCCATAAAGAAGTCCAACAATGATGTCCTGAGAAGTTCTGCCAGAAACGTTTAGGCTGATCAGAATAAGTTTAAAACATCTTCATGTCTCATGATTTGGTTTTATGCAATTCAAGATGCTCTAAAACCACCTGAGGCTCCGCCTCCAGCTAAGGCCCTCCCATCGTTACGGCGACGCAGCGAATCCCGAGGATATGAGTTTGTTAAAGTCGGCGAAGGAACCACAGACGCTCTGGACTCTGGAGGAGCTGAATGTTCTGCAGCTGAGGGAAGATGAGCAAGAAGGTAGGAGCAGGTTCTGCCTGATGATGATGATGATGATGATGATGATTCTCTGAATGTGACCGTTTCAGTGGAGAAGAAGATCTTGAGTGTTGATGGTTCAGTAGCTTCCTTCTCCTTTTCTCTCCTGAGCTCAGCTGTTCTTCTTTTCCTGATTCCACATAAAAGCGTCAGTCTTCCATGGAGATGTTGGTTCCTCTCCATCTGTCCAGCTGAATAAATGAGTTCCTGTAGGTTTCAGGAATGTTTGCAGATGTTTTCTACCGTTGGATCCCAGGATGGTTTTTCCTTTAGAAACCAGAGGAGGCTCATTCTCCGGTTACCGGACCTCTTAGCATCGCATTCAGCAGCTGGTTCAGATAAAAAGCCTCTCAGAGATCAAAGGGGGAAACGGTGCAGCGCCGCAAGTTTTCTGCTTTGGCTCTCTGCCTGGTAAAACTATGAGGGATTCAGTTTTGCTTTGACTTGATGACAGATTCTTGAATTCCAGCTCTTTGTGCGTAACTATTCCTTCATCTCGGCACCAATCAGAAAGTGATTGCAAGGGTGTTGCTCTTCTGGTTAATAATTTGCTTAAACAATGGATGGCCCTGCATTACGATAATAGAAACGATTCTGACCTTCCTGCAGGTCCAACATGGTGACAACCAGTCTGACCGAGTCCAGGATGGTGATTGTTCCCATCACTGGTCCAGACGGTCCAGTTTTCCCTTCTTGGTTCTTGTAATCTGTCCAACTGGCTCCTTAGCCCATTCCTACCAGTGTCTCCACTTCTCCAAGGCAAACTTTAGAGACAGAAGTTCTCAGTTTCCCATGCAGTAGTCTTATTCTGCTGAGGACCAGGTTCTGGAGAAAGGGGGAGAAAAACGCAAACACCTTCAGGAGATCTTTGAGGACTGCACATGCCTCAGCTCTGGGTGCACAGACCTCTCTGGGTCAGGGGTCAGACTTTAAGCATGAAGGGGAGAGCTGACCGGGCGATAGTTCTGCATAGAGGGAGTGGGCCAGTTAGAGGAGACCTTGACAAGGATCCCTTCTAACTTGGGTTGGAGGGACTACTAAGGCATGAGGAGACATTCATTAGAAAGTCACATTTCTTGGCCTCAGTAGTGACCTGAAGGAGCTGAAAGCAGTTTGGTTCAGTGAGCTCTGTGTGGGCTCCAGATGTAGGAGTAGCGCCTGGTGGGGAACTACTCTGGACATTTACCCACACGAAGGCTTTCGATAATCTGGCACTGCTTTTGAGTTGGAGAGCAGGATATGAAGCCAGGAGAATGAGTGGAGGGACTGAGGTGGGGGAAACGCTGCTGGAGACAATGATGAACCATATTCCCATTTCCAAATATAAGCGACTTGTATGTGACCTCCTGTCTTAACTTTACGGAAGTAAACATGGATGTTAGCACTGGAGCGCATTTAGTGATCTTTAATTTCTTATCCCAACCTCAGCCAGTTCATTAACAACACAGTTTTTTCATGAAGGTTAAAAACAAAAACTGGTTTCCATTCTATTGTCCACCATGGTTGTTGTTTTCCTTCCTGCTTCTGCGTATAAAGAAACAGAATAGTGACCTTTTCAGGTCAGGTCAGATAAAAGATCCGGTTATTATCAGATTCAGGACCACAGAGCCAAGTGGCCTGGGTCTTATTCCAAAAAATTAGATCTGTGTTTTTCAGAATGTCATGAAAAGATCAGATACAGGTCGCACACGGGCAAGAAAAAAACTGGATTTGGGTCACTGCAGCCTGCTGGGTGAACGTAGCCTAATATTTACTACATTTCACCTTTTGAGACGGATGGTGATCAAGTTCTTCTCTTGGTTCTGTAGATCTGCAATAAACACATTTAGTCAGATCTGGTTACGGTGCAGAGTCTATTTACAGGTGCTGGTCATAAAATTAGAATATCATGAAAAAGTAGATTGATTTCAGTAATTCCATTTAAAAAGTGAAACTTGTATATTATATTCATACATTACATACAAACTCATATATTTCAGATGTTTATTTTGTTTAATTTTGATGATTACAAATGACAACAAATGAAAATCTCAAATTCATCATATCAGAAAATTAGAATATTGTGAAAAGGTTCAAAATTGATGGCCCCTGGTGCCACACTCTAATCAGCTAATTAACTCAAACCACCTGCAAAAGCCTTTAAATGGTCTTTCAGTCTAGTTCTATAGGCTACACAATCATGGGGAAGACTGCTGACTTGACAGTTGTCCAAAAGACGACCATCGACACCTTGCACAAGGAGGGCAAGACACAAAAGGTCATCGCTAAAGAGGCTGGCTGTTCACAGAGCTCAGTGTCCAAGCACATTAATAGAGAGGCGAAGGGAAGGAAAAGATGTGGTCGAAAAAAGTGTACAAGCAAGAGAGATAACCGCACCCTGGAGAGGATTGTGAAACAAAACCCATTCAAAAATGTGGGGGAGATTCACAAAGAGTGGACTGCAGCTGGAGTGAGTGCTTCAAGAACCACCACACACAGACGTATGAAAGACATGGATTTCTGCTGTCGCATTCCTTGTGTCAAGCCACTCTTGAACCACAGACAGCGTCAGAAGCGTCTAAAGAGAAACAGGACTGGACTGCTGGTGAGTGGTCCAAAGTCATGTTCTCTGATGAAAGTAAATTTTGCATTTCCTTTGGAAATCAAGGTCCCAGAGTCTGGAGGAAAAGAAGAGAGGCACTTCATCCACGTTGCTTGAAGTCCAGTGTAAAGTTTCCACAGTCAGTGATGGTTTGGGGTGCCATGTCATCTGCTGGTGTTGGTCCATTGTGTTTTCTGAGGTCCAGGGTCAACGCAGCCACATACCAGGAAGTTTTAGAGCACTTCATGCTTCCTGCAGCTGACCAACTTTTTGGAGATGCAGATTTCATTTTCCAACAGGACTTGGCACCTGCACACAGTGCCAAAGCTACCAGTACCTGGTTGAAGGACCATGGTATCCCTGTTCTTAATTGGCCAGCAAACTCTCCTGACCTTAACCCCATAGAAAATCTATGGGGTATTGTGAAGAAGAAGATGCAATACACCAGACCCAACAATTCAGAAGAGCTAAAAGCCACTATTAGAGCAACCTGGGCTATCATAACACCTGAGCAGTGCCACAGACTGATCGACTCCATGCCACGCCGCATTGCTGCAGTAATACAGGCCAAAGGAGGCCCAACTAAATACTGAGTGCTGTACATGTTCATACTTTTCATGTTCATACTTTTCAGTTGGCCAACATTTCTATAAATCCTTTGTTTTTATTGGTCTTCAGTAATATTCTAATTTTCTGATATGATGAATTTGAGATTTTCATTTGTTGTCATTTGTAATCATCAAAATTAAACAAAATAAACATCTGAAATATATGAGTTTGTATGTAATGTATGAATATAATATACAAGTTTCGCTTTTTAAATGGAATTACTGAAATCAATCTACTTTTTCATGATATTCTAATTTTATGACCAGCACCTGTATGTCAATGCAATTGTTCAAAGATCTACAGACATCTTCAGTTAGAGTTATTCAACATAAAACTTTTCACCCTTTTCACAGGGGAACAAGATTGCTGTCCCACTATCTGAGGAGTTGGTCCTGCGAGCGCTGAAGGACCTGGGAGACAATGAGTTGAAAGAGTTTAAATGGTATTTGCAGAAGCCTGAAACTTTGGGAGGCTTCCCAATAATCCCAAAGAGCAAAATCGATAAAGCGGATCGGACCGACATGGTGGATCAGATGCTACAGACCTACTGTGAAAGCACTCTGCAGGTGACCAAAAAGATCTTAAAGAAGCTTGACCGTAACGACCTGGTGCAAGGTCTGGTTGGCCAAAACGGGGAGGAGGTTTCTGGTAAGACACCTGGAAGATCAATCACTGGACATGCAGATGCTTTATCAACGTTTTCATTTAGCAGAACCTAATCTTATTGATTTTATCTCTTATTGCCTCCTTTAGAGGATTTTGCAGAGTGCCAGCAAAATCTCAAGTCCAGACTTTTAAGAGAGCTTATGGGTTCAGTGGAAAAAACCCAGAAGGGCCGAAAATCTAAAGCGAAAGAGGAAATCTACATAGAAATGAACTTGGCAGTAAAGGAGAACAAAGAGTTCAGCTCAGAACAGGGAATCAGGTACATCGAATCCGCATCCAGAAAACTAACCAAGGTAGAAAAAACTCTTGGTTACGACTCCATCTTCAGAGATCGGCTTGGAGAAAACAAAACAGTGAGAACGGTGCTGACCATTGGAGTCGCTGGCATTGGAAAAACCGCTCTGACGCAGAAGTTCACACTCAACTGGGCTGAAGAAAAAACCAACAATGAATTCCATTTCATATTTCCCTTCAGCTTCAAGGCACTGAGTGCTATGAAGAAATCCCTCAGTTTGGTTGAGCTTATCCATCATTTCTTTGCCGAAACAAAAGAAGCAGAAATCTCTAAGTTTGGTGAATTTAAGGTTATTTTCATCCTTGATGGTCTGGATGAGAGCCGACTTCCGCTGGACTTCCGTCTTAGCAAAAAAGTGAGTGACATTAAGGAGAAGGCTTCAGTGGACGTATTGGTGACTAATATCATCAAGGGAAACCTGCTACCCAATGCCCACATCTGGATAACCTCACGACCTGCGGCTGCCAGTCAAATCCCTGCTGAATGTATCGACTTGGTGACCGAAGTCACCGGGTTCAACCAGGCCCAGAAGCTGCTGTACTTCAGGAAGAAATGTGGAGACCAAAACATTCACAGCAAAATCATACCGTATGTCAGCGCCTCCCAAAGCCTCAACACCTTGTGCCAAATGCCAATCTGCTGTTGGATCACCGCTACAGTTCTAGAAGACCTGCTGAAACACAAAGAGAAAGAAGAACTCCCAAAGACCGTTACTGAGCTCTACATCAACTTCCTGCAGGTCCAGTTCAGACAGAAGGCAGTGACAGAGGCAGAGATACAGTGGAACCAGTCCAGCAAGGATAAGATCCTGACTCTGGGAAAACTGGCCTTTGAGCAACTGCAAAAAGGCAACCTTGTATTTTATGACTCCGAGCTTAAAGGGTCTGGCATCACTACCAAGTCAGTGTCGGTATACACAGGCATATTTCCAGAGATCTTTAAAGACGAGGATGTCAGTGACCAGGCCAAGGTGTGCTGCTTCACCCATCTGAGTGTCCAGGAGTTCCTTGCTGCTCTGTATGTTCATCTCACCTTCACCAACACGCAGGTCAACGTCCTCGATGAAGCACAGTCCTCTTGGATGGGTGTCCTAGGGAGGCGTAAATCGAATCCCCATCAAACTGCAGTGGACAAAGCTTTGCAAAGTCCAAACGGAGAACTTGACATGTTTCTACGTTTTCTCATGGGCCTACTGCTGCCATCCAGTCAGAGTCTGTTAAAGGGCCTGGTGAAAAAACCCGAAAACGACACCAAGGCCATCGAGGACGCCATCAAATATATCAAGGAGAAGCTTGACAATGATCTCTCTACAGAACATAGCATCAATCTGCTGCACTGTCTTAATGAACTTAATGATAATTCACTGGTGGAGGAGATCCAAAGGTTCATGGCTTCAGGACGTCTTACTGTGGACTGTTTGTCTAGCAGTCATTGGGCTGCCCTGGTCTTTATCTTACTGTCACAAAATGAAATCGATATGTTTGACCTGAAGAACTACACCTCTTCAGAGGAAGCCTTCATGCGGCTGATTCCAGTGGCCCGAAATGCAAAGAGAGCTTGGTAACAGACACATCTGCACATTTTCTTCATCAGTTACTTCAAACACAATCAAGGTTCAAGAACTGATTGGTTGTCTCTCTACCTTTTCAGTTTGAGTGCGTGCGAGCTGTCAGAGAGAGGTATCAGTGCTCTGAACGGGATCCTCAGCTCCCAGAACTCCATCCTCAAAGAGCTGGACCTGAGCTACAACAACCTGGGCGACGGTGGAATCCGGCAGCTGGCAGAGGGACTGGAAAGTCCAAACTGTTCCCTTGAAGTTCTCAGGTCAGGATGAAGGTTAACTACTCCATTCATGAAGTTCATGCAGCGGTAATAATCTCACACCACAGTACAAAGTTTTGCTTTGTCCATTTTTAGTCGCAGAGTTGTCAACCTCAGATCCGTATCCAGTGTTTTGGTCTGCATCATTACCAAAAGTGAAATCCAAAGTCTCCATCCATCTATGGCCCCACCTGGTGTTTTAGAAATAAAGATAAATTAATCACTTTGACGAAAGCTGGCTGTTCATAGAATCAGTAGATTACTTTAACTTAGAGTAAAATGAATAGGCCCATCTCATTGCATAGGCTAGTGGTTAACTTAACTGCATGCAGTGAAAGCAGTTAGCCTCACTTCATGCAGGTTGCATCGCTGCTTGTAGTTAGCCTCAATGCATGTAATTAGCCTCGATGCATGCAGTTAGCCTCGCTGCATGCAGTTAGCCTCACTGCATGTACTTAGCTGCGCTGCATGCAGTTAGCCTCGCTGCATGTACTTAGCTGCGCTGCATGCAGGTAGCATTGCTGCATGTAGTTAGCCTCGATGCATGTAATTAGCCTCGCTGCATGCAGTTAGCCTCGCTGCATGCAGTTAGCCTCACTTCATGCAGTTAGCCTCGCTGCATGTACTTAGCTGCGCTGCATGCAGGTAGCATTGCTGCATGTAGTTAGCCTCGATGCATGTAATTAGCCTCGCTGCATGCAGTTAGCCTCGCTGCATGCAATTAGCCTCACTTCATGCAGTTAGCCTCGCTGCATGTACTTAGCTGCGCTGCATGCAGGTAGCATTGCTGCATGTAGTTAGCCTCGATGCATGTAATTAGTCTCGCTGCATGCAGTTAGCCTCGCTGCATGCAGTTAGCCTCGCTGCATGCAGTTAGCCTCACTTCATGCAGTTAGCCTCGCTGCATGTACTTAGCTGCGCTGCATGCAGGTAGCATCGCTGCATGTAGTTAGCCTCGCTGCATGTACTTAGCTGCACTGCATGCAGGTAGCATCGCTGCATGTAGTTAGCCTCGCCTGGCAGTTAGCCTCACTGCCAGGCGAGGCTAACTGCCAGTGACTTTACTTTTTTCAGCCTATCAGCAATCCAGTGAATAAATAGAGATCAGTGATGCAGACTGGTTCATGCTGGATGTCCTGAAGGTCCTGATGACGGCTATTCACTCTGAGGGAAAGTTAGAGATGAATAAACTGTTCAGAGGAGCAGCTAGGAGATGAGCGTTTTGGTTCAAAGGCGTTCCGTAAAGTTCTGGTTAGGTTGGACCAAACACCAGCTGATTAGCCTCTATCCATTCCCTGAACTCCAAGTGTTGACAGAAGCGTTTTGTCTCCAGGAAGTGTTGCTTTAACCTGGTTTATGTGCTTCTTCCTCAGGCTGAGCGGCTGCAGCTTGACATGGAAAGCTTGTGATACTCTGGCCTCAGTCATCAGCTCCCAGTCCAGGCTGAAAGTTCTGGATATAAGCAACAACGATCTGCATAATGAAGGATTGGAGAGCCTGTGTGCCGGGCTGGAGAATCAGCTCTGTAAACTGGAATGTCTGAGGTCAGCTTCAAAGGTCGTCCTCTCTGGGCTGGTTTAGGTTTGAATCCATGTCTGACTAAATCACTTCCATTGATCTCCAGCCTTCATGATTCAGCGTTTATCGTCTGATTGTTCAAACATTTAGCTTCATCATTGTTCATCATTAATTAAACTGAAATGATGAATCATCTAAAAGCAGAAGTTGTCCTGTTTGTGTTTGTTCAGTCTTTCTGGCTGCCAGATCACAGAGGAAGGCTGCCACAGTCTGGTCACCGCTCTCCAAGCCAACCCGTTCCACCTGAGAGAGCTGGACCTGAGCTACAACCATCCTGGAAAGGAAGGAGTTCAGCTGCTGTCCGGTGGAGTCAAGCACAAGGAGTGCAGACTCCAAAAACTCCAGTATGAAAATACTAAAAATCTTCAGACATGCAGATAAACTTAAATTGTAGTTCAATAAGAGAATGATCCAGTTTTATTTTTTAAAACTGTCCTATCCTGGCTTCTTCTCATTGGCAGACACCCTGTCTACTTTTAAGGCTAGGCTTAAAACTTTCCTTTTTGATAAAGCTTCTAGTTAGAGTGGCTCAGGTTATCCTGATCTATCTCTATAGTTCTGCTGCTATAGGCTTAGACTGCTGGAGGACATAGGGACCCCTTTTTCATCATTCTGCTTCATTCTATCTCTATTCTCCCACTCTGCAGAATCTGTTAGTTCAATCTCTAACGTTCTGCTCTCTCTGCTTTTTCTCATAGTAGCTTCATCTGGTCTGTTCCTGTTTGGCTGTGACTCCATCCTGGAGAGAAATATCAGCTGTGCTGCTGCCATCAACACCTTTGTTTCTAGATGTTGGAGCTTGGCCTGTTTTCCAGTGTAGTCCTGTTTCTCTGACTGTGACTAACTGGATGTGCTCTCTTCATCCTCTGACATGGGAGCTGGCTCGGAGCTCGTCTGCCTGGCTGTGTGTTTCCTGGACGGGGCCGCCTGTGGAGCTGGTTGACAGTTGCCTTTTGTATCTATGCTTCTTTTTCTATGTCTGCTTCTGTCTCCTTGAACCCCAGTGGGCCTCAGCTGATGGCCGCTCACACTGAGCCTGGTTCTGCTGGAGGTTTCTTCCTGTTCAAAGGGAGTTTTTCCTCTCCACTGTCGCTACAAGCATGCTTAGTGTGAGGGATTGCTGAAGAGTCAATGAGTCGATGCAATCAGCTGGTTTTCCTTAGATAGAAAACTTTGAATCAATCTGACTGGATGATCTGATGTGAACTGGAGCTATAGAAATAGACTGAATAGAATTAAACTGGTTTCTGTGGGTTTGTTCCTGCAGAGTGGAGGACTGTGGAGAACAGAGGCTGCAGGCGGGTCTGAAGAAATGTAAGGAATGTTTGATTGAGGACGTTCTCCTCTGAGGGTCTCTGATGAATCAACCACATGGTTTCCTTCTGTCTGTCTTTAGATGCTTGTCAGCTGGAACTGGATCCGAATACGGCGCACAGGAACCTCCAGCTGTCTGACGACAACAAGAAGGTGACGGTGGTGATGGAGGAGCAGCCATACCCGGATCACCCAGAGCGCTTCGACCACTGCTGCTGGCAGCTGCTCTGCAAAAATGGTCTGACTGGGCGGAGCTACTGGGAGGTGAAGAGGGAGGGGCCCGTCATCATGGCCGTCAGCTATAAACGGCTGAGCAGGAAGGGGCCCACGGCCGACTGCAGGCTGGGCTGGAACGACCAGTGCTGGAGTCTGGTCTGCTCCGACCGGCAGTACTCCTTCTGGCACAACAGGAAGGAGACGGTCTACACGCCGCAGTACGCCTCCCTGCTGTCCCTCAGGGTGGGGGTCTATGTGGACGTCCCCGCTGGGATCATTTCTTTCTACGCCGTCTCCGCCAATGAAATGTTCCACCTCCACACCTTCAAGACCTCCTTCACTGCCCCCCTCTACCCGGCTTTCGGCTTCGGCTTCGGGTGTTGGTCCTACAACTCGTCCGTGTCTCTGTGTCAGGTTTAGCCCCGCCCACCGGCCGAGGAAGACGTTTGTCCCACAGATCTCCTACTTTCTGATTGATTTTGTAAAAGCGTTTTGTCCCTTTGTGAGTTTTCTCAGTGGAAAAGTTCATTTAGTTCAGTTAAGTTTAAAGATAAATTAATGTGGGTGGAGGGAAGGAGGTGGGGGGGTTACGTTGAGCTGAATTAAAACCGTTTTTGTATCTAATGATCTCTAAAATTTTACAAGAAGTTAATATTTCTCTAGAATGTCTCTTTCAGTCTTTCAGTCTTCTTTTTTTGGTGTCTCAATTCTATTCAGTTTATTTCTGTAGAGCCAATTCAAACACAAGTCATCTGAAGGCACTTTACAGTTAGGGGGGGGGGGTGGACTCAAACCGGCGACGGCTGCGTTGGGACTGAGGCTTTCTAACATGGCCGCCCCTCTTCCTGCAAACCACACAGACTGTGATGATTTCTCTGCTTTGTCTTCTTGGTGTTTGGAAATACTGATGTCCTGTTTGAATCAGTCGGTTTTTGAATGTATCTGGATTATTTATGGGGAATAAAATGTAAAATGGTGGAATGGATTCACTGTCTGGTTGTTCTGCTGTCATTTCTGTGTATTTGAGTCTGATTTTCACCTAAATGTCAAAGTAAAGAAGCAAAAAGCAGCTTTAGGGAAATATGGACATCTAGCAGCAAACCGGCTTCTTCAAACCGGTTTATTTAACTTCTAAATATGAACAATTCAGATTTTTATCTGCAATTATTAATCATCACATAAATTAATCTCTGTTATCACAATAATACATCTAAGGGATGTTTAGAGCATTAGCTTTTAGAGAGAGCAGCTCACTCCTATAAAACACTATCGATACGGAGTCCCTATGTCCTCCAGCAGGCTAAGCCTATAGCAGCAGAGCCACTAGTAAACCTGCAGATTGAGAGCGAAGTGCTCTGTTAGGAACATAAGGAACAATCAGATCTCTGATATCAGATGGAGCTTGGCCATTTAAGGCTTTATATGTGAGAAGGAGGATTTTAAATTCTATTCTGGATTTAACAGGAAGCCAATGAAGAGAAGCCAGGATAGGCGAGATATGATCTCTCTTTTTCATTTTCATCAGAACTCTGGCTGCAGCATTTTGGATCAGCTGAAGGCTTTTAACTACAGTTTGTGGACTTCCTGATAGTAAAGAATTACAATAGTCCAGCCTTGAAGTAACAAATGCATGGACTAGTTTCTCAGCATCACCCCTGGACAGGAGATTGCTCATTTTTTAGATTAGATACTGTGGTTATTCTGGAATAACCACAGTATACATACATATGATTATATATCTAATCATTATTATTTAACCTGATTAAGTACTAAAAATCTTAATTACCACAATGTTTGTAGTTACAAGCCAAAACAGCTTAATAGGTGAAGATTAAACAGGCGGTTCCTCCATCATTCTCAGATCATGCAGATTTTGTCTCATTCAGTTGTCCTGTTACTGACTCATAAATCCAACCATAAATCAGCAAAACAACTAATAATAACGATCTGAGGATATAAATAAAGGTCACTGATCAGTTCTGAAAACATCTTTAGATGAACCGTCTCACCATTCTCACCGTAATACATCCTTCCATGCTCCAGCTGCGGGAAAACAACCTTTTAGAATTTAGATTTCTCTTCATTTCTTCTGTCATATATTGATGTATGCTGTTTACTCTCCTTTTTAACTCAGTTGTTTTACCTGGAAGGCCTCAGAATGTCTGAGTGAGGGGAGGTTTATAGACAGGAGATATTCCTAACATGTTACCGTTTAACCAAAGTGTCTGGAATTGTTTGGACTCTGGCCTTAGGGAACAACTTTGTCAACTTTGTCTAAGTCCTTCCAGACTTCCGGTTCTTAAAACTGAATCTTTTCGCTTCCCTTCAAGATTCATGTTAAACTGGACCTGAGAGAACTTTAGGTTTTATGGTTTTATTAAAGCTTCAGGACATTTGCAATGCCAATAAAATCAAACGTTGTTTTTTTTATATGTCTGCATCAGGCTCACAGTCGACGCTCCGCTTCCAGATACGTTTAGAACCGATGCTTCCTTTGGTCCAAAGGACAGAATGCCTGGATTCCCTCAGTCCAGCTTCCTGCTAACAATCCAACTGATGGTGGGAGATTTTGCAGCTTACAGGAAGCCTGATTAGCAGTAAGCAGATTAGCCATGTGGGATGGGAATTCAACCTGGCCTTTCAGAAATGCTCCGTTTGCTTCACGGCTGAAGCTGGCAGGTCGAACTCATCCAGAGGAGAACAGCAGTGTGGAGCGGCTCCACATGGAGGATCAGCTCAGCTCTGAAAGGTTTGTGTTTCCTGACGTATCAAAGTTCAGATGTTGTCCATGTTTAGTGATTTCTGCAGTAGATGCCTTTATGTTGCCGTTCTCCATTCATGGACCAGATCCGGGGCAGAAAGCAGAGTCTGTACTGTAATGATGAAGCTTCATACCATCTATTCCAGCTCAGTTTCATCTTGTTGTTTCCCTGCAGGTCAGACATGTTCGCTGTGTCTCTGGAGTTGAGGAGAAACCAAAATACCTGATTAAGATCCTTACGACACCCTGCTGGCAGCAGCAACTGCTGCTTCTTGCCCTCCATCTTCGCTGTGGTGAATGTCTGACGGTGCTGGACCGGAGAAACGAGTCAAATGATTCTCTCAGCACTGAAGTCTGCTGCAGGAAGAGCCGCGAAAAAGAGTGAACATTTTCCATCCAGACGCAGCCTGTTGTCTTCCTCTCTGGGAAAGAGGACTGTTTGGGAAGAAAGAAGATTAAACAAAAGTCTGGGTTCTACTGGTGCCTTCAGCTTCAGTAAGTTTTGACTTCAACTACCGGCCTTAAAATCTAGAGTTTGGACTAAAGAGGAAGGAGCAACTGGGAGCAAAATCCAATAGGATCAATACTTCATTCCTGAATCCCAGTTCTTCCTGCAGAAACATAGATCAGTTATGTTTCTGATCCAGGAGATGTACCCCATCGCAGCGGTAGTCCTGGGCTCTGCCGCCATGTTCGGTTCCTCCTGGACCTAAGTCCTTCGGAACCGGAGGGCCGACATGGCAGTCGGTAAGATAACCTTCACCAAGACCGAGAGGGAGAAACTAGCCGAAGTCCTCTGGCTGCTCAACTGGATCTCTGTTCTGACTGGAGTCATTCTCTTCGGACTGGGCTTGTTTCTCAAAATAGAGATCCAGAAATGGCAGGAAGTGATGTCAGAGCAGGGGATCCTCTACGTGCCCCATATGCTGATCACCACAGGCCTGGCAGCCTGCGGCATCAACTACCTGGGCAGCAAGATCTGCCTGGACTGCGCCGACACCAACAAGTTCCTCCGCTGGAAGTTGGTGATGATGCCGTACATCGTCTGCACCTTCTGTTACACTGCCTGCGTCCTGGCGGGGGCGCTGCTGTGCTACACTATTCGCAGTCAGCTGGAGCAGTCCCTGTACCTGGGCCTGAGGAGCGCAATGTGTTTCTACAAGGACACAGACACACCTGGCCGCTGTTACCTGAAGAAAACCCTGGACATGCTGCAGATCCAGTTCCAGTGCTGCGGGAACACCGACTACCGGGACTGGTTCCACATTCAGTGGATCAGCAGCCGATACCTTGACATGACCAACAGCGCTGTGGTGGAGTAAGTTCAGGCAAAGGCCGAAGGTCCTGGAGCTTGATGCAGGTTCATTGTGAAGTTTGGTCCAACCAGAACATCCATGATGATGGAAAAACCAGGAGAACTTTCTAAAGTCAGGAAGCATGTAGAATACCAGGATGTAGAGTCTTCTTTAAACTCGGGTTAAACTTGTAGCTCTGCCTCGCTCTTCCGAATGTGGCGGCAAAGAGCGAGATCTTAAGGGGGCGGGGCTAAATATGAAACATCTCAGACGACCACCTTCTGATGGTGCGGATGGTGTAACAGGCTGCTTTTGACATGGGGGGTGTCCTCTGGCTGTATGATAAAGTTATCATAACTGCGTTAGGGTGCTGAGTCTGTAGCCTGGGTGTGATAGCGTCTCCCCACAGGCAGCGGCTGCCCCCGCTCGGGGGGAACGGAAACACAGATGGCGATCATGTGACTGAATTCCCTTGGCAGATAATATGGCCGCATGCTAATTGCTAACAGCTGGAGGTCCCGCAGCATAACAGTCTCTACTGAGATATGTCCTGGGTTAAACCAACATGTGGTTGGTTCATAAACATGATCACAAATCATGATCTACTACTCAGTTGACAGGATGTGAGATTTTATTTTTATTATTTTCAGATTACACATAGATAGATTGATTAATTCCACGTGGAGAAAAGGAATTACTTTAGGATTAGGATTCACTCGATGGTAACAACCTACTGAGTCTACAGGCCCAACCTGGAGCCATTCTATGGGACTGAAAGCCGCTAATAACGACCATTTATTGGGACGATAACTTTGGAAGAGGCCGCAAACAAACACTTGATATTTACTGTGAAAGACTGAATCAACATGAGGAAGAACCCATGAGATGATGAACAGGTTCTATTTATTAGAATAACGTTTTTATTCCTCATCTTCTGCCAGAAGATTTCAGAACCATTGATCTACTAATAATTTCAAACAAAATTAAATTCTTCAGTTCTTGTAGAAACATTCTGGATGTCTAGAAATTTACTTCAGATCTCCAAGATTCTAATTTTAGTGTTCACACAATGGGGAAATTCTGGTGTTTACAGATTATAGAAAAAATGTGGATCTTAGAAAAATGTATAAGAATAACATAATAGGGAAGAGCTAAAAGATAAACAATAAAATCCTGTAAAGTGTTTTAACAATATAAAACTGGAGAATAAATAACCAATATGCAGCTATGGACATTTTTACAGTAATTTGAAAATAGCAGCAACATCAGAGATGTGCAGAATGACAGCAGCAGGTTATTTAACTGACTAAGGTATAAACTGAGCAGAATCAGCCTGAATGGAAGAACTGGTTGAGGTTACTGGGAACAGTGGTGGTTCTGCTATTTTAGTTCAGTCTAGCAGTGTGATTTTGATCAGGAATCATCTTATTATAGTGATCTACAAATAGAACAACAGAGAGGAGAGTGCTTTTAATAAATGTAAAAACAGCTTGCCATAGACCACTTCATTTAAACCTGTTGTTGCTCCTTAACTGGAGGAGCAATCTCCTCCTCCTCCATCTTCCTCTCCTTTGCAGCTGTAGCTCCATTTCTCTGTGTTTTAAACACATTCTCCATTGTAGGCACTTCCTGTTGTCTGTTGTCATGGTGATCCATCAGGCTCCACTGATGATGGCGTTTCATACTTGTTAGCCACGTGTTAAACTCTGAGTGGTTCTGCTTAGAGTTGGTTGAACTAATTGATAGCAGCTGTTGTGAAATCAAAACTCAGAGTTCCCAACTTTAGGCTAGATCAATTTAGAGTTGAGGACCTGAGTTTGTTAAACCTGCTTCTTGAAACGGAGCCCAGGCCTCCAATAACAGGCAGAAATGGATGGATGGTTGATGGGTAGGACTGCTGGTATTATCATGCCTGAGCTGTCTGCCAGAGAGCCTGGTTTTCTCTGACATCTGGTGTCTGAACCGATCACAGCATCCAGGTCTAACATCTGCCTCAACAAACCTTCATATCTTCACATTAGATGACGGACCTGTTTACCTACGGAGAGAGTTTTAGTCTGGAGGCAGAATGAGGTCATCTATCCACTGCAGCTAATCCTGGAGGAAACCAACGGATTAATCAGCAGGGTTCATCTCAGTGTCAGGTTCCTCTAAATAACCTGTCTGGGCTCAGCAGGGAGAAGAACAGCCAGTGTCTAAACAGAGTTAATAACCAAACCGGTGGGAGCAGAAGTTCTCCTGAAGGAGCTCTGGATCCACTCCACATCCGCTCCAGGATTTCTAGATGTCTCATTGATCCGTTTGGTGACTTTATGGCCTGGTTGGCTGTTTTTTCTGGCTGTTAATCTCTAAATTATTATGACCCAGCTTGATGTTCAATGAGTGACTCAGAAACATGTTCCTGACTTTAAGGCTGCTGTCGACTGATTCCAGATCCATCGGAGGCCGGATCGTCCACATACAGAAGAAAATAATATCACCAGAATGAAAAAATAAAAACCCTTTTCCCTAAATCTCAAATAGATAAAATATATTCAGGAGATGACAGACAGAGGTGGCAAATAAGAAAGTACAAACACTTTGTTACTGTACTTAAGTACACTTTTTAGGTATCTATACTTTACTCCATTACTTATTTTCCTTCCTACTTCTTCTTCTAATCATTACATTTTCACACCAGTATCTGTATTTTCTATTCCTTACATTTTTAATCAATCGTTCCTCGTTCCTCTTGGCTTCGGTTTAATGTTTTATTTTTTATGTTTTATATTTATTTCCCGTCATGTGCTCCATCCAATGCAGATCATTGGCTCCGCCCACATCTAGTGAAAACTAGTGTGATTGGATGAGTCATAGAACGCAAACACTCATTGGTTAGCTAAAGGAAATCATCAGAAGCCAGCAGGTGTTCTTCAAACTGCTAACGTGAATTGTCTATGCCATGCTACAATGTGGGATTCAGAAAAAGATGTTGAAATGTCTGAAAGGTCGGACACAGGCGAGAGCGTATCGGGAGACGGAGACCAACCAGACCTCCCTCATCCTTGGCCTGCTTTGTTTTCTGCAGCCGCGTGAGGAGTAACGTGGAGGGGAAGTACCTGATGGATAGCGTACCCTTCAGCTGCTGCAGCACGCTGTCCTCCAGTCCCTGCATCCAGCACAACCTCAGCAACCCTGCAGCCCATCGACACTACGACCAGCAGAGCCAGCAGCTGAACCTGTGGAGGAGGGGCTGCCAACAAGCCCTGCTGGACCACTACACTGGCATCATGCAGTCCATCGCGCTCACGGTGCTGCTCATTTGGCTCTTTGAGGTAACACAACAGAAATATCTGGTATTGTCCCACAGTGAATAAATATTTCAGATGGACCAGCAGGGGGAGCTCACACAGCCAACACAGGTAAAAGAAAGATCAACCGGGGAAACCAGTTTACCTCAGCTGGGCTTTCAGTTCCAGTCCTGGAGGTCCGGTGCACCTTCTAGATGTGTCTCTGCTTCAACAACAGATGATGGAGGATGATGGATGGATGGATGATGGATGGATGATGGATGGATGGATGATGGATGGATGGATGGATGATGGATGGATGGATGATGGATGGATGGATGGATGGATGGATGGATGGATGGATGGATGGATGGATGGATGGATGGATGATGGATGATGGATGGATGGATGGATGGATGGATGGATGGATGGATGGATGGATGGATGGATGGATGGATGGATGGATGGATGGATGGATGGATGGATGGATGATGGATGATGGATGGATGGATGGATGGATGATGGATGGATGGATGGATGGATGGATGGATGGATGGATGGATGGATGATGGATGGATGGATGATGGATGGATGGATGATGGATGATGGATGATGGATGGATGGATGATGGATGGATGGATGATGGATGGATGGATGGATGGATGATGGATGGATGGATGGATGGATGATGGATGGATGGATGGATGATGGATGGATGGATGATGGATGGATGGATGATGGATGGATGGATGGATGGATGGATGGATGGATGATGGATGATGGATGGATGGATGATGGATGGATGGATGGATGGATGGATGATGGATGGATGGATGGATGGATGGATGGATGGATGGATGGATGGATGATGGATGATGGATGGATGGATGGATGGATGGATGGATGATGGATGGATGGATGATGGATGATGGATGGATGGATGGATGGATGGATGGATGATGGATGGATGGATGGATGATGGATGATGGATGATGGATGGATGGATGGATGGATGGATGGATGGATGGATGATGGATGATGGATGGATGGATGATGGATGGATGGATGATGGATGATGGATGATGGATGGATGGATGATGGATGGATGGATGGATGGATGATGGATGATGGATGATGGATGGATGGATGATGGATGGATGGATGGATGGATGATGGATGGATGGATGATGGATGGATGGATGATGGATGGATGGATGATGGATGGATGGATGATGGATGATGGATGGATGGATGGATGGATGGATGGATGGATGGATGGATGGATGATGGATGGATGGATGGCTGATGGATGATGGATGATGGATGGATGGATGATGGATGGATGGATGATGGATGGATGGATGGATGGATGATGGATGATGGATGATGGATGATGGATGGATGGATGGATGGATGGATGGATGGATGATGGATGATGGATGGATGGATGGATGGATGGATGGATGATGGATGGATGGATGGATGGATGGATGGATGGATGATGGATGGATGGATGGATGGATGGATGATGGATGGATGGATGGATGATGGATGGATGGATGGATGGATGGATGGATGGATGGATGATGGATGGATGGATGGATGATGGATGGATGGATGATGGATGGATGGATGGATGGATGGATGGATGGATGGATGGATGATGGATGGATGGATGGATGATGGATGATGGATGGATGGATGATGGATGGATGGATGGATGGATGGATGGATGGATGGATGGATGGATGGATGGATGGATGATGGATGGATGGATGGATGATGGATGATGGATGGATGGATGGATGGATGGATGGATGGATGGATGGATGATGGATGATGGATGATGGATGGATGGATGGATGGATGGATGGATGGATGGATGATGGATGGATGGATGATGGATGGATGGATGGATGGATGGATGGATGATGGATGGATGGATGGATGGATGGATGATGGATGATGGATGGATGGATGGATGGATGATGGATGGATGGATGATGGATGGATGGATGGATGGATGATGGATGGATGGATGATGGATGATGGATGGATGGATGGATGGATGATGGATGGATGGATGGATGATGGATGGATGGATGGATGGATGGATGGATGGATGGATGATGGATGGATGGATGGATGATGGATGGATGGATGATGGATGATGGATGGATGGATGGATGGATGGATGGATGGATGGATGGATGGATGGATGATGGATGATGGATGGATGGATGATGGATGGATGGATGGATGATGGATGGATGGATGATGGATGATGGATGATGGATGGATGGATGGATGGATGATGGATGATGGATGATGGATGGATGGATGGATGGATGATGGATGATGGATGGATGGATGATGGATGGATGGATGATGGATGGATGGATGGATGATGGATGGATGGATGATGGATGATGGATGGATGGATGGATGGATGGATGATGGATGGATGATGGATGATGGATGATGGATGGATGGATGGATGGATGGATGGATGATGGATGGATGGATGGATGGATGGATGATGGATGATGGATGGATGGATGATGGATGGATGGATGATGGATGATGGATGATGGATGGATGGATGATGGATGGATGGATGGATGGATGATGGATGATGGATGATGGATGGATGGATGATGGATGATGGATGGATGGATGATGGATGATGGATGATGGATGGATGGATGATGGATGGATGGATGATGGATGGATGGATGATGGATGATGGATGATGGATGGATGGATGGATGATGGATGGATGGATGGATGGATGATGGATGGATGGATGGATGATGGATGATGGATGATGGATGGATGGATGATGGATGGATGGATGATGGATGGATGGATGGATGATGGATGATGGATGATGGATGGATGGATGATGGATGGATGGATGGATGATGGATGATGGATGGATGGATGGATGGATGGATGATGGATGGATGGATGGATGGATGGATGATGGATGATGGATGGATGGATGGATGGATGATGGATGGATGGATGGATGATGGATGATGGATGGATGGATGGATGGATGGATGGATGGATGGATGGATGATGGATGATGGATGATGGATGATGGATGGATGGATGGATGGATGGATGATGGATGGATGGATGGATGGATGATGGATGGATGGATGGATGATGGATGGATGATGGATGGATGGATGGATGGATGATGGATGGATGGATGGATGGATGGATGATGGATGGATGGATGGATGGATGATGGATGGATGGATGGATGGATGGATGGATGGATGGATGATGGATGGATGGATGGATGATGGATGATGGATGGATGATGGATGGATGGATGGATGGATGATGGATGATGGATGGATGGATGGATGGATGGATGGATGATGGATGGATGGATGGATGGATGATGGATGGATGGATGATGGATGGATGGATGGATGGATGGATGATGGATTGATGGATGGATGGATGGATGGATGGATGATGGATGGATGGATGATGGATGGATGGATGATGGATGGATGGATGGATGGATGGATGGATGGATGATGGATGATGGATGATGGATGATGGATGGATGATGGATGGATGGATGATGGATGGATGGATGGATGGATGGATGATGGATGGATGGATGGATGGATGGATGATGGATGGATGGATGGATGATGGATGGATGATGGATGATGGATGGATGGATGGATGGATGGATGGATGGATGATGGATGGATGATGGATGGATGGATGGATGGATGGATGATGGATAGATGATGGATGATGGATGGATGATGGATGGATGGATGATGGATGGATGGATGGATGGATGGATGGATGATGGATGGATGGATGATGGATGGATGGATGGATGATGGATGGATGATGGATGGATGATGGATGGATGGATGATGGATGGATGGATGGATGATGGATGGATGATGGATGGATGGATGATGGATGGATGGATGGATGGATGATGGATGGATGGATGGATGATGGATGGATGATGGATGGATGGATGGATGGATGGATGGATGGCTGATGGATGGATGATGGATGGATGGATGGATGGATGGCTGATGGATGGATGATGGATGGATGGATGGATGGATGGATGGATGATGGATGGATGGATGGATGGATGATGGATGATGGATGATGGATGATGGATGGATGGATGATGGATGATGGATGATGGATGATGGATGGATGGATGATGGATGGATGGATGGCTGATGGATGGATGATGGATGGATGGATGGATGGATGGATGGCTGATGGATGGATGATGGATGGATGGATGGATGGATGGATGGCTGATGGATGGATGATGGATGATGGATGGATGGATGGATGATGGATGGATGGATGGATGGATGATGGATGGATGATGGATGATGGAATGATGGATGGATGGATGGATGGCTGATGGATGGATGATGGATGGATGGATGGATGATGGATGGATGATGGATGATGGATGGATGATGGATGGATGGATGATGATGGATGGATGGATGATGGATGGATGGATGATGGATGGATGGATGGATGATGGATGGATGGATGGATGATGGATGGATGGATGGATGGATGGATGGATGATGGATGGATGATGGATGGATGATGGATGGATGGATGGATGGATGGATGGATGATGGATGGATGGATGGATGATGGATGGATGGATGATGGATGGATGGATGGATGATGGATGATGGATGATGGATGATGGATGGATGGATGATGGATGGATGGATGATGGATGGATGGATGATGGATGGATGGATGATGGATGGATGGATGATGGATGGATGGATGGATGGATGGATGGATGATGGATGGATGGATGGATGGATGGATGATGGATGGATGGATGGATGGATGATGGATGGATGGATGGATGGATGGATGGATGGATGGATGGATGGATGATGGATGGATGGATGGATGGATGGATGGATGATGGATGGATGGATGGATGGATGGATGGATGGATGGATGGACGAGCTCCGAGCCAGCTCCCATGTCAGAGGATGAAGAGAGCACATCCAGTTAGTCACAGTCAGAGAAACAGGACTACACTGGAAAACAGGCCAAGCTCCAACATCTAGAAACAAAGGTGTTGATGGCAGCAGCACAGCTGATATTTCTCTCCAGGATGGAGTCACAGCCAAACAGGAACAGACCAGATGAAGCTACTATGAGAAAAAGCAGAGAGAGCAGAACGTTAGAGATTGAACTAACAGATTCTGCAGAGTGGGAGAATAGAGATTGAATGAAGCAGAATGATGAAAAAGGGGTCCCTATGTCCTCCAGCAGTCTAAGCCTATAGCAGCAGAACTATAGAGATAGATCAGGATAATCTGAACCAGTTAACGTGTGATCTTTTCCCTCCTAGTTGCTGGTTCTGACTGGAGTCCGGTATCTGCAGACAGCAATGGAGAACGTCATCAGGCTTGGCGACCCAGAGTCTGAGTCAGAGGGCTGGATTCTGGAAAATAGCCTGGCAGAAACAGCTTGCTACAATTTCAATATCATCAAGAACCTGGGAAAGTGTTACCAGGTGGATGAAGACCCGAACATTAACATCCCAACCGCAGCTGCAGACCAGGAGGTTCCACCCCTCCAAGTCCGAGTCAGTGTGACCAGCTGACCTTCAGAAAGGTTGAGGACCTCTAAACTGATCTGCTTTTTTTTCTTGTTAAGACTTATTTTGTGTGTATAAATATATGACTGAGAAAGAAACTAAAGACTTGAGGATGTTCCAGAACTAGAACAGTTCTATGTTGTTCTTTGAAAAAGGGAAATACATCCACTAAAGGTGCTAAAGCAGCCGTGCTAAAACACTGCAGGCAGAACAGCTGTCAGTGTGGGGAACCAGCTGCTAACATCTGTGGCCTCTAAGGAGAAAGGTCCAAATGCAGGTTCTGACTGGGTGTGGAAGGTTCTCTCCTGTTACTCTGGCTTTCACTGCTAAGCTGCTCATTCACGGTTGAAAAGCTTCATTTTGTTTAACCTGTGTACAAGATGACAATAAAGTTTGTCTAAAGCCTCATTTCACTTCCATTTTGCAACCATGCAGAGATCGGTCTGAGCACGGTAACCAAGATAAGAGAGCACGCGCAACCGAACCGCGATAAGCTGGTACTAGTTCATCAGTAGAGCTCGCCGCGGTTCTGTTCTGGCTCGGTTCTCAGATAACAAAGACCCTAACCCAGCAGACAGCGTCATCTCCTTACAGTCAGCCTCCGTAATCAGGAAATTTCAGAAATTCCTAAAATCCTAGCTTCCTACCGCGCCGCACGATTTCCAGTGATGATTCTGCTTAGCAGTGCGATGAATCTCAACGTCTGTCGTTGTTTCCTGCGTCTGGAAGCCCTGATTAGACGATCGGTTGTCGTATCCACTTCCCAAAAGCCGACTCTGTCAAGGAAATTCACCAAAGGCTGCCTTCTTCGCCTGACTCTCTGCAAACTTCCTGAATGTAACGGGCGCCGCCATGTTAGTTTGCCTGTTGACCTGTAGAGAGCAGTAGTACCGTAGATCATCAGTAGGAGGCGAGGAACCGTGCTAGCGTGGTGTGGAAATGGTCGTAAGGAACCGATCTCGGCACGGTTAACGGATCCAAGCTCGGTCCAAACATCGGTTTCAGAGGGGAGTGAAAATGGATATAAGTCTAAATAGGTCTAACTTCATCCCACAGCCGAAAAACATTAGTGTTAGATTTAATTGGACGGAGATTATCTTTAAAATGAGAGTGTGATGTCATGCCTGTGAGTGACGCCATGCCTGTGAGTGACGTCATGCCTGTGAGTGACGTCATGCCTGTGAGTGACGTCATGCCTGTGAGTGACGTCATGCCTGTGAGTGATTTCATGCCTGTGAGTGACGCCATGCCTGTGAGTGACGCCATGCCTGTGAGTGACGCCATGCCTGTGAGTGACGTCATGCCTGTGAGTGACGCCATGCCTGTGAGTGACGTCATGCCTGTGAGTGACGCCATGCCTGTGAGTGACGTCATGCCTGTGAGTGACGTCATGCCTGTGAGTGACGCCATGCCTGTGAGTGACGTCATGCCTGTGAGTGACGTCATGCCTGTGAGTGACGTCATGCCTGTGAGTGACGCCATGCCTGTGAGTGACGTCATGCCTGTGAGTGATGTCATGCCTGTGAGTGACGCCATGCCTGTGAGTGACGTCATGCCTGTGAGTGACGTCATGCCTGTGAGTGACGTCATGCCTGTGAGTGACGCCATGCCTGTGAGTGACGCCATGCCTGTGAGTGACGCCATGCCTGTGAGTGACGTCATGCCTGTGAGTGACGTCATGCCTGTGAGTGACGTCATGCCTGTGAGTGACGTCATGCCTGTGAGTGACGCCATGCCTGTGAGTGATGTCATGCCTGTGAGTGACGTCATGCCTGTGAGTGATGTCATGCCTGTGAGTGATGTCATGCCTGTGAGTGATGTCATGCCTGTGAGTGATGTCATGCCTGTGAGTGATGTCATGCCTGTGAGTGATGTCATGCCTGTGAGTGATGTCATGCCTGTGAGTGATGTCATGCCTGTGAGTGATGTCATGCCTGTGAGTGAGGGTGTGACTGCATGAGCTGCATTTCTAGGAAACCTGTCTAAGTTGTAAGAGTTCCTGGTTTCTCTGTGATATCCCTTCAGCTCAACCCAGAGCTTTTCTGGTTTATGTAGTTCTGGGAACAGAGAGCAGAAAGAGTTCCACATCCTCACAGCTTCTCTACAGAACTTTACGGCATTCTTCCCTCCTTCATTCAAAGCAGATTAACCAGGAAGGTTTGTTCCTGAAAGGCTCACCAGACCAAAGCTAGAGCTCCAGTTCGTCATCATGTTTAGATGCTCCTCGTGCTCCTATGATGCTCCTCGTGCTCCTATGATGCTCCTCGTGCTCCTATGATGCTCCTCGTGCCCCTATGATGCTCCTCGTGCCCCTATGATGCTCCTCGTGCTCCTATGATGCTCCTCGTGCCCCTATGATGCTCCTCGTGCCCCTATGATGCTCCTCGTGCCCCTATGATGCTCCTCGTGCTCCTATGTTGCTCCTCGTGCTCCTATGATGCTCCTCGTGCCCCTATGATGCTCCTCGTGCCCCTATGATGCTCCTCGTGCTCCTATGATGCTCCTCGTGCTCCTATGTTGCTCCTCGTGCCCCTATGATGCTCCTCGTGCTCCTATGATGCTCCTCGTGCTCCTATGATGCTCCTCGTGCTCCTATGATGCTCCTCGTGCTCCTATGATGCTCCTCGTGCTCCTATGATGCTCCTCGTGCCCCTATGATGCTCCTCGTGCTCCTATGATGCTCCTCGTGCTCCTATGATGCTCCTCGTGCTCCTATGATGCTCCTCGTGCTCCTATGATGCTCCTCGTGCCCCTATGATGCTCCCTCGTGCTCCTATGTTGCTCCTCGTGCTCCTATGATGCTCCTCGTGCTCCTATGTAGCTCCTCGTGCTCCTATGATGCTCCTCGTGCTCCTATGATGCTCCTCGTGCTCCTATGATGCTCCTCGTGCTCTATGATGCTCCTCGTGCTCCTATGATGCTCCTCGTGCTCCTATGATGGTCCTCCTCAGTGCTCTATGATGCTCCTCGTGCTCCTATGAAGTCTCGTGCTCTATGATGCTCCTCGTGCTCCCTATGATGCTCCTCGTGCTCCCTATGATGATCCTCGTGCTCCTATGTTGCTCCTCGTGCTCCTATGATGCTCCTCGTGCTCCTATGATGGCTCCTCGTGCTCCTATGATGCTCCTCGTGCTCCTATGATGTCCTCGTGCTCCTATGATGTTCCTCGTGCTCCTATGATGCTCCTCGTGCTCCTATGATGCTCCTCGTGCCCTCTATGATGCTCCTCGTGCTCTATGATGCTCCTCGTTGCTCCTATGTTGCTCCTCGTGCTCCTATGATGCTCCTCGTGCTCCTATGATGCTCCTCGTGCTCCTATGATGTTCCTCGTGCTCCTATGATGCTCCTCGTGCTCCTATGATGCTCCTCGTGCTCCTATGATGCTCCTCGTGCTCCTATGATGCTCCTCGTGCTCCTATGATGCTCCTCGTGCTCCTATGATGCTCCTCGTGCTCCTATGATGCTCCTCGTGCTCCTATGATGCTCCTCGTGCTCCTATGATGCTCCTCGTGCTCCTATGATTGCTCCTCGTGCCCCTATGATGCTCCTCGTGCTCCTATGATGCTCCTCGTGCTCCTATGATGCTCCTCGTGCCCCTATGATGCTCCTCGTGCTCCTATGATGCGCCTCGTGCCTCCTATGATGCTCCTCGTGCTCCTATGTTGCTCCTCGTGCTCCTATGATGCTCCTCGTGCTCCTATGATGCTCCTCGTGCTCCCTATGATGCTCCTCGTGCTCCTATGATGCTCCTCGTGCTCCTATGATGCTCCTCGTGCTCCTATGTTTGCTCCTGTGCTCTCGTGCTCCTATGATGCTCCTCGTGCTCCTATGATGCTCCTCGTGCTCCTATGATGTCCTCGTGCTCCTCGTGCTCCTATGATGCTCCTCGTGCTCCTATGATGCTCCTCGTGCTCCTATGATGCTCCTCATGCCCCTATGATGCTCCTCGTGCCCCTATGATGCTCCTCGTGCTCCTATGATGCTCCTCGTGCTCCTATGTTGCTCCTCGTGCTCCTATGATGCTCCTCGTGCTCCTATGATGCTCCTCGTGCTCCTATGATGTTCCTCGTGCTCCTATGATGCTCCTCGTGCTCCTATGATGCTCCTCGTGCTCCTATGATGCTCCTCGTGCTCCTATGATGCTCCTCGTGCTCCTATGATGCTCCTCGTGCTCCCTATGATGCTCCTCGTGCTCCTATGATGCTCCTCGTGCTCCTATGATGCTCCTCGTGCCCCTATGATGCTCCTCGTGCTCCTATGATGCTCCTCGTGCTCCTATGATGCTCCTCGTGCTCCTATGATGCTCCTCGTGCTCCTATGATGCTCCTCGTGCTCCTATGATGCTCCTCGTGCTCCTATGATGCTCCTCGTGCTCCTATGTTGCTCCTCGTGCTCCTATGATGCTCCTCGTGCTCCTATGATGCTCCTCGTGCTCCCTATGATGCTCCTCGTGCCCCTATGATGCTCCTCGTGCTCCTATGATGCTCCTCGTGCTCCTATGTTGCTCCTCGTGCTCCTATGATGCTCCTCGTGCTCCTATGATGCTCCTCGTGCTCCTATGATGTTCCTCGTGCTCCTATGATGCTCCTCGTGCTCCTATGATGCTCCTCGTGCTCCTATGATGCTCCTCGTGCTCCTATGATGCTCCTCGTGCCCCTATGATGCTCCTCGTGCCCCTATGATGCTCCTCGTGCTCCTATGTTGCTCCTCGTGCTCCTATGATGTTCCTCGTGCTCCTATGATGCTCCTCGTGCTCCTATGATGCTCCTCGTGCTCCTATGATGCTCCTCGTGCTCCTATGTTGCTCCTCGTGCTCCTATGATGCTCCTCGTGCTCCTATGATGCTCCTCGTGCTCCTATGATGCTCCTCGTGCTCCTATGATGCTCCTCGTGCTCCTATGATGCTCCTCGTGCTCCTATGATGCTCCTCGTGCTCCTATGTTGCTCCTCGTGCTCCTATGATGCTCCTCGTGCTCCTATGATGTTCCTCGTGCTCCTATGATGCTCCTCGTGCTCCTATGTTGCTCCTCGTGCTCCTATGATGCTCCTCGTGCTCCTATGATGTTCCTCGTGCCCCTATGATGCTCCTCGTGCTCCTATGATGCTCCTCGTGCTCCTATGTTGCTCCTCGTGCTCCTATGATGCTCCTCGTGCTCCTATGATGCTCCTCGTGCTCCTATGATGTTCCTCGTGCTCCTATGATGCTCCTCGTGCTCCTATGATGTTCCTCGTGCTCCTATGATGCTCCTCGTGCTCCTATGATGTTCCTCGTGCTCCTATGATGCTCCTCGTGCTCCTATGATGCTCCTCGTGCTCCTATGATGTTCCTCGTGCTCCTATGATGCTCCTCATGCCCCTATGATGCTCCTCGTGCCCCTATGATGCTCCTCGTGCTCCTATGATGCTCC